GGTAACTGACGGGCAATAATAGCAAATTTTCTGAAGTCCCTTTGCTGTCTTTTCTCGCACATTAGGACGCATCTCCTCACAGACATTGTTAAAAGGATCTCTCTCAAGGATTTGCGCTTTTTGCGAAGGCTGACTCTTAATTTTCTTTGCGAGTCGGCGTGAATATCTCTTGTTTACGCTTGATTGGAAAATATATAATCCAAATTAAGGCTGCTATTTTTTTACTATTGACTTTTATTTTTCCTATTTATCATTAAAAGGCAACAAATTTTACAGCTGGCCCTTGCGTCCGGATAAAACATTAAAATTAGGCTAGGCAAGTTTTAGCGACAGCGCGGACAAAATCGCAGATTTTAGAGATCGCCAAAAGTTCGGATAAAATCCTAGCTTCAGAATTTTTGGCATTTTAGCGATAGCGAAGGTTATTTGATTATTTGTTTGCGGAAGAAAATGTTAATAAATGTTGCTCATACGCCCGGTGGAACGATCTGAAAAAGCATACTTAGTACTTAGTATGTACATTGTACAATGTACATTGTACATACACTATACGATAGGAATATGCATACCCTAGGTATGTCAAATTTCAAACTCAATTTATTTTTTCAAAATCATTGGCCATGTCTTCGCTTGTTTGAGGTCTTATACCATTTCAAAAAATCAAGTCAAAGGAATTCAATTTCGAATACAAAGTAAAATCTTCGGCCTTATCTAAGGGTACGTTCACACAGAAAGCGGAACTGAGCCGAGCGAAGCCGTTCTGCGGGGAGGAAAGCTTTCAAATTGCAGTAGCTACATATATGAAAGTGTTCATACAGCAAGCTTTTTCAGAAGCGTTTAGAGCTGAAAGCAAAGCATTTTTTGATTTTGAATTTTCTATTAAATTTCTTAGCTTTATGCCGCTGCTTATATCAAAATATCAAATATCAAAAAGAATTTGTCAACTAATCTTTTTAATTAAATTGAGCAAATATTTTTTCCTCTTTTCATTGGCGGTAAGTTTTTCAGCATCTTTGCAGCTGACTCCACGAGAAAAGCTCCGCTCTTCCTCGTTCAGTGTGAACACCTACAGGTTCGCCTCGCTCCGCCTTTCTTCGCTCGGTACCGTTCGGTTTTCTGTGTGAACACACCCTAAACAACAACAGCAATTGTGAGCAACAAAAATTTATGGATAACCTTTTATAATATAAGCTTAACTTTATAAAAGGGACTCAATACTTAGTGTTGCCACCCTTCGCGTTAATTACAGCCAACAGACGGCGCGGCATACTATTAACCAGACTTTGAAGCATTTTTTTTTTAGATATATTATTCCAGGTCTCTTGCAATTTATGAAAAAAAGCCCCAAATCAGCACACTTTCCCCTCCGAACTTAATTTTGTTTTGCACGCTCTTAGATTACAGCTTCTCATTACTCGTTCGCCACATTTTTTGTCTTCTTTATAAATAAATAAAATAAATAAAGAGAAATTTTTAGTATTACTTTATATGAAAGGAAATGCAAAACACCGTCAGACAAAAAAAGAAATTTTAAATATCAACTAGCGTCTTAAAATTTGCACTTTAATCTGCTAAAATTTAATGGGCTATAAAACTGCATACCTAAAATGTTTCGCAAAATTTTGAATAAAAAGTTTGAAATATTTGGGTGATTTTGCTAAAATTTATTGAAATTTTAATAATTTTTGTGCAAATATTGAATTGTGGATTTATATGGTGCCTGTTATATAATGCGCTAAACTTTTATAAAAAAATATGAAATATCGTATAAACAAAAGAAATATAGCCAAACTGATCAAAATAAAAAGTTTCGATTATTTCTTCCACCACTGTATGTATTTACAAATGCATACAAATTAAAAAATAACAAATTTGAAATAAGGTTTAATAAAAAAAAAACCAAACTATCTTAAACATGATTTTCAAGTAGGTACGCTGCATCAGTAATTGCTCTTCGAATACTTCTCATTCACTTTAAATACTATGTATGTATATCCTTAAAATTCTTTAGCTAACAAGCAAAAAACGACAACACTTGGGAATAAATTTCAGTTATTCTTTCAATTATGTGTTCCACTTGTGCAGCTTTTTGCTATCATCCGCTAAAAATTACCCACCACTGCCGCTAAAGGCTGCCAGTACTATAGCACCTAAATGATCCCAATCAGACTCATCTGAACTGCCCATGGCCGCCTGCTGTGGTAATTTTTGCAACATGACTTTTAAATTTGTTGCAAAATTACAAAAGAAAAGAAACAAAAAAAAACGAATAATAATAATCTGCAAGAATTTGTGACCACAAAAAGCATTAGAAATTAACATAATCCCAGCACGAAAGACTTGAGAATGTTTACATTTCTCGTACAATCAAAGAAACAAAACATAAAAACAAAAAACCGGAAAAAAGAAAAGAAAGTGCAAAAGCAAAAGTAAAGTAGAAAAACGATACCTGACGCGTAGACAGAATACATAAATGCATAAAAAGGTCATTGAGAGCAAACAAAAAAAGCAAAAAAAAAAACGGAAAATTATTCACCAGGAAAAGATTCAAACTAAAAATCAACAAAAACCCAAAGTAAGCATAAAACATTAAACTTTCAACAATGCGCGTATACTTTTAAAAGAGAAGCGATGCATATGTATGTATGTATGTATATGTATCTAGCAGCTTGCATAAAATATCAGACGGGCTGAATGTGTTTGTGTGTGTGTACAACTAGAATAAAAGGTCAAGGGCGCACTTGCTAAGCTCATGTGTATACATATATAGGCTCGTATGTGTGTTTATGTATGCATGTACATAAATACGCTTGTGTGCGCTTAGACTTGTATTAGTTTGTTGGCAGCTGCGCCAAGTTGGCACTTGGCAATTCACAGTTGGTTGGCTCACAGCAAGTTGCCTGAATGAGGCGAGCTGTTGTGGACAGTACTTTCGACCATAACGCCAATAATGTGTTGTTGTTGTGGTTTTTTTTTCAAACCAAGCTGATCTTAGCAAAGCTGCCAAATATGGAGAAGCAAAGAAAAATCACTACTATACAACTCAGAAGCAAATAAAACACCAAGCAAAAAGTATGTGCTGGCATTTCTTAAAAATGTTTGCGTTTTCTTGTATGAGCGCTGGCTATTACTTTTTTTTTGCAAATTTTTTATTCGTCTTTTTTTACATTTTTGCTTCATTTTTGCTACTTTTTTGTACTCGTTACTTTGCCTTTTTTTTGTTTTTTTTTTTGCCTGTCACTTCACTGCACTGTGATTCACTGAGTGACATAGCTAAGCAACAAGGTTTTCATCTTCCCCTACGCTTTTCTATGCCAAGTTGTGAAAGCGAAAAATTTTAAGTATTTTCTGCTACGTTGCCTGCAATGATTTTT